ACTATAATTTTCTTTGTGTTATTTGGTTGAATTTAATACATTTATTCAAATCGATCTAAATTATTAAAAGTTATGAGCGTGTAATTAAAAAAACTATAATCTGAAATTTTAAAAATTAATTTGAATAAATCGTAGATAAGTTTTATAATAATTTTAATACATTTGTTTTTTGTTAGATTTATTTTTTAATTTTAATGTTGAATATAATATTTATTTTAAATTTCATTTATAATTTATTTGATTTTTTCACGAATTAAAAAAAATGTACGTAATTACTCCTTATGATATCGAAGTATTTTAAGTGAATAAAAGACGTGAAATTAAAACATTAAGACGATTGATATATTTAGTATTTAGTATTAACATTATTACGCTTTTTACTAGTAGTATTTCTCTCCGTTCTTGCATTATAAAACATATTATTTTGCTTTAAATACACTAAACATATGCACTGTACACATAATTTTATCAAAATTCATTGAAACTTCTTACTTATTTTTTTTTGTAAAATAATTATTATTTTATTATACAATTCTTAAACTCTACTCGTTTTTCAATATTGCAAATCATTTATTGAAAGCTTTCTAATTTCTATGTCAATTTTAAAAAGTAATTAGTGATAGATTAAAAATTGTATAAAAATATGTGGGCATAGAAGTTTTTAAAGCATTTATAGATTATTTTGACAAATTAAGTGGTACAATAATAACCATAATTACATTGAAATGCTGTTAATGATTTGTTGTGTAATCATTATTGAATAATTTTCTCGCGTGTGCTTAATATACACAACAATTTTGTACTGTTTACTAGTTTTCAAAGACTTGTAATCTAAGGTAGTGTTTAGTGGGATTTATCTCGCATTATTACGCACAACTTGGATACCAACTTAGTGGCATCTTGAGTAATTATGTTCTGTTATATTTTGCTAAAACAATTTTATGTACCAGTCAATTACAAACGAGGTAATACGATGATATTACTCATTTAGCTTAGTTTTAATACTATCAAAATATTCTTTGGTAAAAACTAAGTTCTATAATTATATTAATCAATTAATTTCGTCTATAAATACTTATTAATGTTCAGTATCAACTAAATGTTTTATAACACTTTGAAAACAAATTTTTTTTTCTAAATTGATGTTACAAAGTAAAATTAATGTAAGATTTTCATAGATGTTGATAACAAAAAAGATTATTTTGATACAAATAATTGAAGCAATAGAAAACATTTTGAAATCAACAAACGCTTGTAAAACGTATAGTAATATCATTCGAAACAAGAAAATGTATTGAATAGATTAATTCGTTTGTATTTCCACAAACACATTCAATTAATAACTACCTTTTAATACGTCTAATAATTAATAATAAAATGTTAACGTTATAGATTAATTGTAATAATTGATTTTGACTCAATTTTTTTATCATTTAAGATTCAATATTAGGAACAAATTGGGTAATAACGAATACATGTAAATATCCATTTTTTAAAGATAGCTTATTCTTAGTTTCATCATTAATTTTGAAAATCATTTATTTTTCTTCTTGTACATCAGTAATAATCTCTAAATTATGTTGTGTTAATATTATTGATTTAACAAAAAACTTTAAAGTAATGAATTTTTTTGAATAAATAAAATTTGCAGTATAAGTATTGCTGTTGAAGTTAGCTATGATTGTTATACGCCCTGTATTATAAAAAAATTAAGTAAAGGTATGAAATGGTACTTCCACTTATATAATTTAAGGCGATTAAATCAATTTCTTTTTGGCGTTATTCAACTCAGTAATTTACATAACTTGTAAAATTACATAGTTGATACTTGTCATAACACAGTTTTACCCGTTTCTAGTATTCGGTCACGTCTATTAATAAAATTATTGTTATGATTCAGATTTGTCATCATGTTTAACTATTTTTAATGAAAACTTTTTACAGAAAATTATTAATTTAATGATGTAATTAAAATTTTAAATATCTATGTGTATGTGATTGATATAATATTATTGCTATTGTATACTTTGATGTTATAAAATATAGATAAACTATGTATTTTATGATATAAATTAAAAATATAATCATAACATTAATAAAATAAAAATATGATTGAATTTAATCATTTTTAGTGAAGAATATTTAAGCATTATTTTAACTTTTAAACTTTATAAGTTTATAATAAAACGTTAGATATGTAAAAAAAATTGCAAATTTCAATGAAATTTAATTAAAACACATATTGTCTTAAATTTATTATTGTTCTCAGTTATAAAATAACAAAAAAAAAAAAAAAAATACGATTATTAGCTTTTATGGAATATGCTAAAATATAAAAGGATTGAAAATGTATAAAAATATACTTTTTTTTTATTTTTAATAAAAAATTTCAATATGTAAAACAGATAATAAAAAATGATTGTCGAAAATTCATTAAATAATTTTTCAAACAGAAGAACAATAATTTTAGAAAAGATTCTGATAACAAAATAAAGAACGTTAAATAAAACAACGCTTTCGTTACGATCCATTAAAGCTGATAGTTACGTCTAATGGTTTTGACAATCTGTTCATGACTTTTAATTTCCTTTACATACTTCATGCAGAAAAAAAGTAGATATTTTTATTTTTAAAATAAATAAAAAGATTTAAAAATCATATTTTTTAATTTTTTAATTTTGATTGACTAAGCTAAATTTTAATTTATTAATATTAGGGATAATTGCATTTAATGCAATTCTTTCTCAAGTTAAATTTAATGATAAAAATAAGTATTTTTTCAAAGTGATTATATTTCACTATTTATTAATTGAACTTAATAAACTTCTAATAAATATAAGTAAGTGATTAACAAGATATAAAATTTAAATATTCAATCAAAATATAAAAATTAGAGTAATGAAATCGAGTATATATTTTTCATCAGATAAGATATTTGAAGCATTTTCGCGTTCTACAGTGAAAATCATAAATACATATTTGACCTTTAAATTAAAATCTATTAATTTACACTCATCAAAAACAGTTGTAGCTGGAAATATTTTGAGAGAAGGTCTTGTTAATAAGTATAAAATAAATATTTTGCTGCAACGAACATTTCAAAATTATCTTTTAATATTACTTAAAATTATACTAATATTTTTACTATATTTATCGATTTACAAGCACAGTACCATGGCGCCTCCATTTGGATGGCTTTTCCTTTAAATTATAAGTTTTTGAAATAATTTTATAAAAAAAAATATTATTTCTATCAAATATTCAGATAAAAATAAAAGTATGACTATTAGTTTTTAGTTTAAGTTTTAGTTAGAGAAGTGGACGAAATTAAATACCTCAATCATGCCTATTATTTAGTTATTTTCAAATGATATTAAACAATAAAATATAATATAAAAAAAGGTTAAAATTGCAAATAAATTTATTAGCTATCTAGTTCAAAGCGATCATACAAAACATCAAACAAAAATCTATAGTAATGTACTGCACCATGCTCCAACTTATGAAATACTTGTTTTTTCTTCAAAATTGGGATTGTAAAATTTCTTTCTACTTTAATTGAGTTAAAATTACCAACATTTTATTTTTATAACATTTTTATTTTTTGCAATTTCATTCATTCTATGTTTACTTTCAAAAGTATATGATAAAGTTTTAATAGATAAAAAATATATCTTTTTTATAATTCAATAACTTAAAAAATAGGTTTTAGCTAAAAAAATTAACTTATTGATTATATCAATAAATTTTATATTATAAGAGAAAACAAAATTCCTATAATATTTAAAATTGTAATTGTAAAAACATGTTTTTTATTTAAATTACAATTTTTGCTCTAAGAATCACACTTCGTTGAGGTCTGCGGCAACAGACTCAAGTTATAGAAATGAACCTGCAGAATATATGTATATGCTTTTTAGGTACTAATATTTGCTTATGAATCGTATAGCATTGTTGAAAAAAATGTAGATAAAACCAAGAAAACCGATTATCTGACTTTAGTAACTTATTAAAATGACCAGATTGGGAGTAAAACTTTTTTATTTGTAACACATATTTTGCTCAAATATTCTATATATCACTAATTACTAATATTTTACAAAAATTATCGATAATTAATTTTTATTTTTTGATAATACTCCATAATATAGATGACATAATTGAACTTGAACTCATTAACATTCTATTAATCAGATAACTTATTGAGTTATTTTTATGTTGATTAACTAAAGTTAACATTAAACTAAAATTTACAACAGAATAATTGAAAACTATTAAAGTATTTATCTTTTCTAGAAATTGTAATAAATAACAATTTTGACACTTCAAAAGTACAATTATTGATAAATTTGATTTATAATCGGCCAAACTCCTACCTCCTATAAAACAAATTTATTAAAAAATATTATCAACTTTAAATTAAATAAACTAAAAAATGTTTTTATCAATGTATTACATAAAAATGTAAATCTTCTTGACTTTCTTAAAAAAAATTATTGAAAAACTAGTATCATATTTAAATTCAGCGACTTTAAAAATATATTAGTGAACTTTTTTTACTACTGAAGATAAAATTAGGTTGTATTAATTTTAACCAGGTTTTTTGAACTAGAAACACTGCTTCGGGTAATAAGATAAGTTTTAATCTATACTCAAAACATTTAACTGAAAATAAACAGCTGTTTATTTTCAAGTAAATATTTATACTATGATTTGTTAATTTAATTATTTCGTCATTTTATTACATTAATCAGTGGTACATGTTAATAATTTAGATTAATCAATTTGGAACGTGAACATTTTTATAGTAACAAAGCGATATTGTTAACTAATGTTAGTAGTAATTTCGCTTCTAGGCAATGTTTCATTTTTATCAAAAATATGTTTAAATGTTATTGAAAATGTATTTTTTCCCTCCTTTATAGTTCGCACAATTTGTAGATATATTCATAATATATTTATATTATTATTTTACTTGTTGAACTCATGATTATTTTCAGATTTATCTTTAATTGAAAGTTATTGGTTGTTGATGGTGTCATCTATAAAACTCCTACGATATGCTGACGACATCCACGTCACGGGGTAGATTTTTAGTCGGTTTGTGTATTGCCTATTTGTTAGCACAATACATATATGCCAGTTACAGTACTTACGAGTCTCGACGGTTCGAAAATTTGATGACCATTACGTCCACTCAACAATACTTACCAGCTACCAACACAGTGCCAATTTTGCATTTAAATATAAGTGCCATTATTCGAGAGGTAAAGTAGAAATCTAAAATGTAAAAACTGTATATTTAACTTATACTTAGTAAAAATGATTAGTATTTAGAAAATTTTATTTTGTTTTATAAAATACGACTAATATTGGAATAGAGCGATTTTTTCAAATAAACATACGGTGTTTTTGGATAAACGAAATCGAACATGGAAAAGCTTTTAAATAAGCATTTGGTACATTTTGCCTTCGAATAAGCTGTGTCCTCGTTTAATATATTCATAAGTAGCAGCCTTAACGGCTAAACATACAACGGTTTACATATATTTCATGTTCAAGATATATTTTTATAAGCATACATAGGAAATAATATACATAAGTAGACCAGGTAACTCGCGCCTTTTTTTCACTGTATACAGATTTTGTATGCAATGAATAAATCGTCTATGAAACATATTTTTATAATACTGTACTCGTACACAACATATTGTATGAGTTTATTATTCAAATCATATGCCAACCCATAAGAATAAATGATCTCTCCTTAAAAATTTTTCTAGATTTAAAAAGATAGATCATAATTGTTGAAATTAAAAAAAATAGTGTAAAATTTTAAAGTTTCATTATTTAGAAAAAGTGTTTTCATTTTTTCATAAAAAATAAAAGTTGTGACGTATTTATTATATTTTATGATATAAAATTGAGAGAAATGGTTCGTTATGCAACATTATTTTTAAAAAAGATAATTATCACGCTATTAAGTTTTGTTCTGAATAAATAATACTACTAAGTGTTCTAAATAAGAAAATTTTCTTTTATGAGGAATTTCAAAAGTTGTTCAGTAGTTTTACTAAAGAGTAGTTTAATCATTTTTGTACTATAATAATTATAATTTAGTTAAATTTCTTTAAACATTTATTGATAGAGACTATCTAAAGTCTATGAGTAATTCTAAAAAGTCCTTTCTATAATTAAAAAAATAATATCATTTTTAACTGTTATGGTAAATAAGGAAAGATAAACAAATCTATTTAATTTCTGTACAATTATGTTTTTTAATTTACAGCACTACTTCTTTTCTAAAAACACTAATGTTAACTGTGTCATTTTTTAAATCATTCACTCTAAAAAATTAGTCAAAATAATATTTTGTAAAAATAGTATTTTTTAATTCTAACAAATTTTGTGCGTTATTTTAAAGTATGTATTATTAAATCTAAATGCCAATAATGTTTAAAAGCTTTGCTGTAAAAAATTTCATAATTAAAATTATATCAATAAATAAATTGATATAGTTAAATTTTTTTGTTATTTACAAAATTAATTTTAATGGAGTTCTTTAAAGTTAGTTTAAAATTCCATATTATAACATTATAATTGTGTTGTTAAATATTTTTCATTTTTCAGGCAAACATTTTATTTGTTAAGCCAAATGGTACAAATAATAATAGCACTGCAGTGTGTCCCGAAACTCCACCTGGATTGAGTAAGTAAATTTACCTACAATCCTTTCAACGAATTTTTTTAAGAACAGTACTTGAATTAAAGTTAATGAAACATCTTATATAACAATAGCGCTAAAGTATCATACTCTCACAAACAAATAATTTTTAAGTATTAGTTAGTTTGAAAAGTACTTTTACGAGCGTAGAATCTATTTGTATTTTAAAAGAATACACGTCAACAAAAGTATGTATGAATCTTAAATAAAAACTTTTTATTCCATATTTTTAACAATGAAATTGAAAAAATTATGATAGGTTTCTTAATGTAGTATTGATATTACATTTAACGTTCAATAACTGCAAAATAAAGCATAAAAAATATCGAATCGTTTTTATTTTAAGTACAAAACATTACAATTAATGATGTGAGATGTATTGGTGCGGATATAGACCAGAATAAAATATGACTCTCTTAAATAAATGCACAGCATAATATTTCAAGTTGAAATGACAACCTTACATGGTGTAGTAGACAAAATATGAAAACCCTTTAATTTCTGTTTATATCCTAAAAGTTTAGGTTATTATTCCGGAGACAAAATATTGATCTGTCTAAATTTATTTTACTTTCACTTATAGTTTTTTTATACAAAAATATTACATTTTATGAACATAGAAAAAAAAAAAAAGCCCAGCACAGGGGGGTCGCGGCACAGTGGTGCCGTGGTATAGTTGGATCAAGTATAATGATATCTGACAGTGATTATAATTCACTATCAAAAAAAAAACGCTTCGATGCAAATCTTTAGATTGTGTTTAATTTTAAAAAATTGGTGTATTATTACAAAAGCTACATGATCTGCTAGTTTCTTATTAATATCTTGATTAAGATAAAGTATGTCGAATGAAAAAGGGATTATTAAAAAATATTATTTCTCATAAAAAAATTGTGTTGATCCATACACTTTTCAATAAGTTATAGCATTATAAAGTTAAAAATGTAAAATATAAAATCGAGAAATTTCACACAAAAATAGCATTCTGTAGCCATTTTCATCACGAAGACAAGTCCAGAGGTCAATTTTTTTTTTTTAATAATAAAGTACATTATATTAGCTTTAATTTAAGATATATATAAAAGTGTCAGACCTTCCGGAACATTTTCAAAAGTTAAGTTGAAAAAGTAAATTTTTTGTGAAAAAGTTGTCATTTTAAATCCCCCCCTGTGGGCAGATTAAGGGTCAAATTTACAAAAAATATATACCAAATAATAGATAAAGACATCAAGCATCTATAAAAAAAAAAATTTATATTGATATGTTCATTTTTAAAAAACCCAGCACAGGGGGGTCGCGGCACAGTGGTGACGTGGCATAGTTGGATCAAGTATAATGATATCTGACAGTGATTAAAATCACTATAAAAAAAAAACGCTTCGATGCAAATCTTTAGATAGTGTTTAATTTTAAAAAATT